GAAGATACTGAAGATTTTAAAGATATAAAGATTCCAAAGGTTACGGAGTTGAGATTCTAGAAATTTCAAAGATTCCGGATTTTCTCAGATTCTTGAAATGTCAGAAATTCTAAAGATTCTGAAAATTGTGAATGTTTCGAAGACTGAAGAAATTAAAAATTCTGAAGACTGGAGATTTTGAGGATTCGAAAGATAATAAAGATTCTAAAGATGTCAAAGTTTCCAAAGATTCTAAAAATTTCAAAGATTCCGGATACATCTATAATCTTGAGATTCAGAACTGCTCAAGATCTGAATGTTTCGAAGCCTGAAGAATCCAAAAATTCTGAATACTAGAGATTTCAAGAATTCTAAAGATTAAAAAGATTTCAAAGACTACGAAGTCTAAAGGTTTCAGAGATTTCAAAATTCGGATTTTCCCAGATTTTTGAGATTGCAGAAAATCTGAAGATTCTGAATGTTTCTCAAACTGATGAATCCAAAAGACTTCTAAGATTCTAAAGAATATAAGGATTCCAAAGACTTCAAAGATTCCAGAGATTTCAGAAATTTCAAATTTCCGGATCTGAGACTTGAGGTTCGAGAAATCCTAAAGATACTGAAGATTCTAAATATTTTGAAAACTGAAGATGCCAAAAATTCTGAAGGCATTGAAGATACCGAAGATTCTGAAGATATAAAGATTCCAAAGGTTACGGAGTTGAGATTCTAGAAATTTCAAAGATTCCGGATTTTCCCAGATTCTTTAGATTTCAGAAATTCTAAAAATTCTGAAAATGGTGAATGTTTCGAAGACTGAAGAAACCAAAAATTCTGAAGGCTGGAGATTTTGAGGATTAAAAAGGTAATAAAGACTAAAGATTTTAAAGATTCCAAAGATTTCAGAGATTCTAGAAATTTTAAAGATTCCGGATATTTCTTTAATCTTGAGATTTCAGAACTGCTCAAGATTCTGAATGTTTCGAAGCCTGAAGAATCCAAAAATTCTGAAGACTGGAGATTTTGAGGATTTAAAAGATAATAAAGATTCTAAAGATTCCAAAGGTTACGGAGTTGAGATTGTAGAAACTTCAAAGATTCCGGATTTTCCGAGATTCTTGAGATCTCAGAAATTCTAAAGATTCTGAAAATTGTGAATACTTCCAAGACTAAAAAACCACATTTTATGAAAGTTGGAGATTTTGAGGATTACAAAGATAATAAAGATTCTAAACGTTTCAAAAGATTCCAAAGGTTCCAGCGATTCTAGAAATTTCAAAGATTCCGGATATTCCTATAGTCTTGAGATTTCAGAAGTGCTCAAGATTCTGAATGTTTCGAAGCCTGAAGAATCCAAAAATTCTGAAGACTAGAGATTTCGAGAATTCTAAAGATTAAAAAGATTTCACAGACTTCAAAGTCTGAAGGTTTCAGAGAGTTCAAAATCCGAATATTCCGAGACTTCAGTTCCAGAAATTGCAAAGATTCTGGATTTTCCCAGGTTTTTGAGATTTCGGAAATTCTGGAGATTTTGAATGTTTCGAAGACCTTCGAGATTTTGGAGATTCTAAAGATTATAAAAATTTCAAGAGCTTCAAATTTTCTAAGGGTTCCAGAAAATGCAAATTTCCAAATATTCCAAGACTCTTGAGATTTCAAAATTCTAAAGATTCTGAGGATTCTGAATATTGCGAACATTGAAGATTTCAAAATTTCTAAATATATACAATACATTGAAGATTATAAAGATTCCAAAAATTTCTGAAAACTAGAGATTTGAAGAATTCTAAAATTTAAAAAGATTTGAAATACTTCGAAGTCTAAAGGTTTCTGAGATTTCAAAATTCGGATTTTCCCAGATTTTTGAGATTTCAGAAATTCTGAAGATTTTTAATGTTTCGAAGACTGAAGAAGAATCCAAAAGACTTCGAAGATTCTAAAGATTATAAAGATTCCAGAGACTTCAGAAACTTCAAATTTCCGGATATTCTGAGACTTGAGGTTCCAGAAATCCTAAAGATACTGAAGATTCTAAATATTTTAAAGACTGAAGAAGGCAAAATTCTGAAGACATTGAAGATACCGAAGATTCTAAAAGTATAAAGATTCCAAAGGTTACGGAGCTGAGATTGTAGAAATTTCAAAGATTCCGGATTTTCCGAGATTCTTGAGATCTCAGAAATTCTAAGGATTCTGAAAATTGTGAATATTTCGAAGACAAAAAAAAACACGAATTCTGAAAGTTGGAGATTTTGAGAATTAGAAAGATAATGAAGATTCTAAACATTTCAAAGATTCCAAATGTTCCAGCGATTCTAGAAATTTCAAAGATTCCGGATATTCCTAGTCTTGAGATTTCAGAAGTGCTCAAGATTCTAAATGTTTCGAAGCCTGAAAAATCCAAACATTCTGAAGACTAGAGATTTCAAGAATTCTAAAGATTAAAAAGATTTCATAGACTTCACAGTCTGAAGGTTTCAGAGATTTCAAAATCCGAATATTCCGAAACTTCAGTTCCAGAAATTGCAAAGATTCTGGATTTTCCCAGATTTTTGAGATTTCAGAAATTCTGGAGATTTGGGAGATTATAGAGATTATAAAGATTACAAGAGCTTGAGATTTCAGAAATTCGAAAGATTCTGAGGATTCTGAATATTTCGAACATTGAAGATTCCAAAATTTCCAAATATATACATTGAAGATTATAAAGATTTCAAAAATTTCGGATATTCCTAGAACTTTGAGATTTCGAAGATTCTGATGATTATAAAGATTCCAAAAGCTTCAAATATTCCAAAGGTTCCAGAAATTCTAAAGACTCCGGATAGTCTGAGACACTAGAAATTCCAGAGATTCTAAAGATTACAAGGATTCTGAATATTTCCAAGACTGAAGATTTCCAAAATTCTGAAGAGTTTCGAGATTCCAAAGATTCTGAAGAGTGTTAAAATTCCAAAGATTCCATAATTATATTAATTTAATTGATGATAATTCTCAGGGTCCTTTCTCACACAATAGACTCGTTTAAATGTCATAAATAAACTATAATAAATCTCAAGTGAGAAATTATCCCTATGAAGTGTGGATATTGGATAATGTAAAAATACTCTAAACTTGTTATAAAAAAAGGTTTCCGCCATGTGTTTTTACATAACCATTTACATGATTGAGCCATGAACAGTTAAAAATCTTAACATTGAATTTAATAGCCATAAAAACCAAAATTACACCTGCTTTACGGAATAGTCAGAGTTTTACACATTTCAGATTAGAAAATCATTAATAAACTGATATTGCACTAGTTACATCGGTTGGAATATTTTTAAATTACTATTCTTAATATTCTTATCTCGCAATGTCAACATTTGTGTCAAATTTTTAATCAAATCAAGAAATCCGTATTTATTTTCACCAATTACAAATATTTTTAGTAAATCATATTCAAGATTTGTCGTCTTTTTGATCGTGCGCTTTCCAAAATGGCAAACTTTCGTGTTTCGTGTCGTAAAATTTATTTTGTAGTCAAAATTTGATTAATTAAACCTTACCGGTGCACTTCTTGTTTTCAACGATCCCACAAAAATTTAAAACATGGACGCGTTACCGACGTACACACGTTACTAAAATAATTGTTGAAAGTCGTGAATTTTTGTTATTGGTTCAAGTTAAAAAATAATTGGATGTTCTAAATATTGTTATCGCACCAGACATACTTTATCTATAAGTTATTCCATAAACCGTCACTAACAGTAGGTACTTACCTCGATATAAAATGGTATCACTTAACCTTCAATTCATTAAAGTAAAGGAACGAGAGAGGTGAAAAAATGCATTGCAAAATAGTTCCACAGAATTTGCATTTGCAAATAATGAACTAATTTATTTGCAACAAAATGTGTCAGACAGTGTTGATACTCACAGAAACTGAATTACTTTTTCCAATAAATCGTATTTATTACTCACGTCGGTTTGATGTTGTGCGTATGTACATATCATCAAGTTGTTCGAAATAATTAACATGATTATGTGCTTACGTGTATCATAAAAAAATGAAAATGTGCTTTAAAAATAATAGTACACTAGAGTCGAAATATCTCGGAACTAGTCACTCTGATCAAGTAATTTTTAACCGACTGTTGCGTAATTAATTAGCTTGTGGTTACTTCAGGACGCACCCACGTCATATCTCATCACCTCTACGCACTTTCATTCGGCGTCCTTCAACTTTGTCTTTTATAAAACGACGAACTCTGAAATTTGATAAAAACTGAAAATAATTACGGACGCTTTTTAACCTCGTTCGAAACCTCTCTCTCCCGCATCAATAAAACCCAACGAGTAGCACCGAATTACCCAAGGGCAAACAAAATAAATCCTGAAAATATTCCACACATTACAAAACCGGGATTTCACGGATTTGGCACAGTTTTCCAACCTGGCCAGCATCTGCAAGCACGACTTTTGTACCCTCAAAACACCCAAGCAACCGGTCATGAAATCATGGAGTGTGAACAACATTCTTCGTTTATTTACAAACACAGAAGTGCTTTGCTGAATTAATAGGTTGGCTCTCACCATTGCCAGCTCTTGGAACAATATTTTCGAAGAGGCAAAAATAAATTTAATGTTGGTTCGCACTTAGAGTAGAAAATTCGGCAATTTCGAAGTCAAAATTCCTGCGCATGCTGCGTCAATAACAAAATACTTATTGCGTTCTTACTTTTCCAAATCGTCGTAAACAAAGTGACGTCAGTTACATTTGCAACGAGCACCTCGTTGGACGTTTATCAACGCAATGATTAAAATTTATCTCGAATAGTGGACACTTTGAGTTTAGTTTGGCGAGTGTTTACGACTCTGCGTAGTAGTAGTACTCCACACATTAAGAAAACTCGTGTTGCGCCTCCATAACTCAAAATCCAAGCGCAATTCTCCGATAAAAAGATTTTGGGTCGTCGGCTTTTCGTCTAAATATAGCCCAGTCGATGGCAAAATTAAGTAAATTTCTGTTCGTTTTGCAGAATTCGAAGCTTAAACGAAGACGTCGTTAGGTTAGAAGTTCGCACATTTGTAACTTAAAATAAGAAACTGGAGTAGAAGAATCCAAACAATACGCTCATATTAAGGTAAGTCGTAATGTTGCTCTCACGTGTCGTGTTGTTTTATCTGAACAATAAGAGGGAATTGTTGGTAACTGTTGTTCGGTTAATTCATTCGTGCCTACAGCTTTTGACCTGTTTTGGGAAATCTGCTCTTTTTCTGGCGCACAATGTTTTGATTTAATTAAGGTCGCGGTTTTTTGCCAGACAAAAGTCAAAGTGGATGTAAAATGCTACGACCTCGATTGTGACGTGAATTTGATAGTGATCTCATACCTGCTACCGAAATGTAATGACTCCGATTATTCTGGTTTTGAGAGGTTTTCAAAATTTGCATTTTTGCAGAGGTGTCTAGACTTGGTCTATGTACGTGGTAAATCAATCATTTTTTTGGAAGTGCTCCACGTTCCGAAATATTTTAATGGGTACTTACTTAATGCCAAAATGTTACATAGAAAAAGTGACTCAGATTTTGATTTTGGGAACTCGACACTAAATTAAAATTTTCTGTCGGATTGGAGAAAAATTGTCTTGGCAAAAACATTCACATTTTCAAAGTTCGTGGATTGTTTGTACACCCTAGGACATTAAAATTTGGCAACGAGTTTTATTTGGCATTGTTTCATTTTTCCCTAATTTAATAAGTTTGATTTTAAGCGAGTTACGAATTTATTTATGCAGTCATGTTTAAAAAAAAAAATCCAAATCTTAGAACTGGTCTTGTTGGTTTTTGGATAGTCCTTCTAATGTCCGACGTAATTCTTTTGCTGAATTAAAACAAACCCAAGTTTTCAAATAATAATTTGTTGCATGTAGATGGCCTTTTGAAAAATTCAAAAACAGCGCAGTTTTTTTGAAAAACGGAGATCTTCCAAGACAGATGGGAAAGCCGTAAACATGAGTGACGTAGATGTCTTTTTTATGACGTTGAATCTTCAAGGTTTTCCACATTCTACATACAAGAACAAATCTTATTTGTTTTTTAAATTATCAAAATAAATTAAACACCATAAAATATTTTAGAAACAATAGAAATAATTCAAACAATTGTGTTGGTTACAATACGGTAATAATAACGATGATGACTTTGTGAAATAATTTTTTTCAATCGAGTTGTTAAAGTTAATCTTCTAAATAATCCCTGTTTTTATCAGATCAAGATAAAATCGAATTTGAATCAAATACGACAGATATCAAACATTCAACTCAATCAATTTAAGTATTTTTTGTTGACGTACAATCTAATTTTTTTAAAGCGATATTTTTAATGAAAGATATCGATTATTGACAGTGAATTAGTGGTCCTTATTGTTACTGAACTTTGTTTTTGAAAGGATTTTTAAGAATCTCAACACCCGATTGTTTTACCAGGCATTTTTTTCCAAAAAATCTTCACGACTCACAGGCTCCACATGCTTTGAAAGAATTTTTAAGAATCTTGGTTTGTTTTTGAAAATTTTTGAAAGACTCACAGGACCATCCGATATTTTGTTTTTCAAAGAATCTTTAATATTCTCAGAGGCTTCTTACGTTTTGTTTTCATAAGAATCTTAAAGAATCTTGGGAGCCGTTGGTGTTTTGAAGAATCTTGGGGACCGCTGATTTTATTTTTGAAAAAACTTTAAAGAACCTCAGGGATACCACCCGGTATATTGTTTTTAAACAGATTTTGAAGAATAAATTTAAACAATCTTTAATATTCTCAGAGGCCTTATGTTTCGTTTCCAAAGAATCTTAAAGAATGTTCAGGGACACTCTGCACTCTTTTTTTGAAAGAATTTTTAAGAGACACTTGATGTTTTGTTTTTGAACAGATTTTAAAGAATTTCAGGGACACTCCGATTTTTTTTGCCAAAGAATATTTAAGAATCTCCGGGGGTTTCTCGGGTTTTTTTTTCAAAAATTTTAACGACTGAGGCAGCCGGTGTTTTATTTTTGAAAATTTCTGAAAGTCACGGGAACATGCGATATTTTGTTTTTGAAAGAATCTTTAATATTCCCAGAGGCTTCTTATATTTTGTTTCCATAGCAATCTTAAAGGATCTTGGGAACCCCTGACGTGGTGTTTTGAAAGAATTTTTGAGAACCGCTGTTTTATGTTAAAAAAATCTTGAAGAATCTCAGGGTCACCCAATTTTTTCACAAAATTTTTAAGAAGCTCACAGGCTCCCGTGTTTTGAATCAATTTTTACGAATCTCAATAGATCCCCATGTATTGTTTTTTAAAAATTTTAAAAACTGAGAAAATTCTTTAGTCTCAGGAACATTCACTGTTTTATTTTTGAAGGAATCTTTAATAATAATCTCAGAGCTCCTTATGCTTTTTTACTAAAAGGATCTTAAAGAATGTTGGGAACTACTGATGTGCTGTTTGGAAAGAATCTTGGGGACCAATGATGTTTTATTTTCGAAAAAACGTGAAAGAATCTCCGGAACATCCCCTATTTTATTTTTGGATACATTTTAATGAATCTCAAGGGTACTCCCTACTTCGTTTGTAAAAGAATTTTTAAGAATCTCAGGGACACTCGATGTAGTTTTCGAAAAAAAAATAAATAAATAAAAAATCTCAGGAACACCCGGTATTTTTTTTTCCAAACAATGTTTAAGAATCTCATTAGCTTTAGGTGTTTTGAAAGAATTTTTAAGAATCTCATTGGATCCCCGTGTTGTTTTTGAAAATTTTAAGAGTAACAGGAACATTCGATATTTTGTTTTTGAAAGAATCTTCAATATTCTCAAAGGCTTCTTATGTGCTGTTTTGAAGGAATTTTTGAGAACCGCTGATGTTTTATGTTTGAAAAAATCGTGAAGAATCTCAGGGACACTTTGTACTTTGTTTTGGAAAGAATTCTTAAGAATCTCGGGAGCACTTGATTTGTTCTCGAAAAAATTTGAAAGAATTTCAGGGACACCCGGTATTTTTTTCTTTCAAAGAATATCTAAGAATCTCAGGAGATCTCCGTGTTTTGTTTTTAAAAAATTTCAAAGACCAAGGCACTCCATGTTTTGGTTTTGAAAATTTTTGTAGAGTCTCAGGAACATACGATATTTTGTTTTTGAAAGAATCTGGGGAGTCCTCAGGGTGTTGTTTTCAAAAAACTTTGGGGACCACTGATGTTTTATTTTTGAAAAAAATTTAGAGAATTTCAGGGACACCCGGTATTTTGTTTTTGAAAACACTTTAAACAATCCCAGGGACACTTTGTACTTTGTTTTGGACAGAATTCTTAAGAATCTCGGGAGCACTTGATGTTTAATTTTCGAAAAATTTGTTAAGAATCTCAGGGGATCCTCGTGTTTTGTTTTTAAAAAATTTCAAAGACTGAGGCATTCCATGTTTTGGTTTTTGATTTTTTTTTTAGTCTCAGGAACATACGATGTTTTGTTTTTTAAAAGAATCTTGGAAGCCCCGGGTGTGCTGTTTTGAAAGAACCTTGGGGACTGCTGCCGTTTTATTTTTGAAAAAAATTTAGAAAATTTCAGGCACACCCGGTATTTTGTTTTTGAAAACTTTTTAAAGATGCTGAGGGATCTCTGACTTTGTTTAAGAAATAATTTGAAAGAATCGCAGGGACAACAGGTTTTTTTTTTTCAAAGAACAGGCTCTCTGTGTCTTGAAAAAAAAGTTAAGAATCTCATGTTTTGTTTTTGAAAATTTTAAGAGGCACAGGAACATTCGATATTTTGTTTTTCAAAGAATCTTTAATATTCTCAAAAGCTTCTTATGTTTTGTTTCTATAAGAATTTTTAAGAATCTTGGAAGCTTCTGTTCTGTTTTGAAGGAATTTTTGAGAACCGCTGATGTTTAATGTTTAAAAAAATCTTGAAGAATCTCAGGGACACCCGGTATTTTGTTTTTGAAAACATTTTAAACAATCCCAGGGACACTTTGTACTTTGTTTTTGAAAGAATTTTTAAGAATCTCGGGAGCATTTGATGTTTTGTGTACGAAAAGATTTGAAAGAATCTCAGGACCACCGGGTATTTTTTTCTTTAAAAATTTTTTTAAGAATCTCAGCGGATCCGCGTGTTTTGTTTTCGAAAAATTTCATAGATTCTGAGGCAGCCCATGATTTGGCTTAGAATATTTTTTTTTTACAGTCTCAGGAGCATCCGACATGTTGTTTTTTATCACGCTTTTATTAGCTTGGGTTGTATGTATCTATGTATGTATGTATGTAACGGAATCTTTGAGCTTAATTTTCATCGGTTTCTAAAAGTCTGATCATCTTGAAACTTTGCACACGTCTCAAGGATCGATGACAATGCAATAATTTGATAACAGTTTCCCATTATCCTTATTAGGACCGCCAGGATCCTTGATCCTACGGAGACCACTGAGTGGTTCTTTCTAGAAAAATCTAAATAAGTAATTAATTCCCCAATTTATGAATTTGTCGCAGACTAAAAAATGAAAAATAAATAATAGTTTAAAAAACTAAAAAAACACGCTTTTATTGCTAATCGAACTAAAAACTAGAAAATAATTTTTAATGACAGAGTTTAATATTACAGTAGTAGAAGATCAAACAATCAATCATAATAAATCACCTCAAATTAAAATTATAATAAAATTTAAGTTATTAACAGAATAATTCAATTCAGAGTAAAAAGCGTGGGGTGCATTTTACTGCGGTTCATAACTATCCTCTCATAGATAGTTGCCAATAGAATGATTGTAATATTTAAAATATCAAGCACCCCACGCTTTTTACTCTGAATTGAATTATTCTGTTAATAACTTAAATTTTATTATAATTTTAATTTGAGGTGATTTATTATGATTGATTGTTTGATCTTCTACTACTGTAATATTAAACTCTGTCATTAAAAATTATTTTCTAGTTTTTAGTTCGATTAGCAATAAAAGCGTGTTTTTTTAGTTTTTTAAACTATTATTTATTTAAAGAATCGTGGGAGCCCCCAGTGTGCTGTTTTGAAAGAACTTTGGGTACTGCTGATGTTTTATTTTTGTAAAAAAATTAGAGAATTTCAGGGACACCCGGTATTTTGTTTTTGTAAAC